CGATCAGTCGCATAAGCTCGTTAGTGAACGTGAAAAACAGATGCGACTCCAGCACCGATCCTTGATGAACCCCACATTCTTTCTGATCGGATCGGACAGCGCTCTTCGAACCCTTGCAGTTGCCGATTCTGCAGAAAATTCCTGATCCACCCAAGAACTGGGTTCCCGACTCCCTTAGTTTCCCAACCAGTGAAGCAGAATGCGGTGGTGCAGGCGATAGAAGGCTTTTGCGAAGAAACGACTTCAGTCCCTATCTCTTTGTCGGCTTCTCCCGTTTAACTACTGCGCACAATCATTAGGTTGTTTATATATGATCAGTGCTGACGGAACCCGTACTGCTCAGGCGCTATGCTGTGACGTTGTAGATGGTCGACTAAAGCCCCAGCGATAATTGGCTCCACCACCTTTGAGAGCACAGGGAAGTGGACCATTGTGCGTTCCGAACGACTGCCGCCTTTTCAAATGTGTGTTATTAGTCCATTTTCCCACATGAAAGGCACACTTTCTTTACCCAAGCACGTTTGGGAGAAACGGCTCTGCCAGCGTCGTTGCTACCACGTTCAGCATCCTTTAGTGAATGTTATCGATTCCGTGAGGTCTGTATGTGCACAGTAAGAACCGTTTCCTCCGCACATTTGCGGTGGTAAATGTGATGTTATTAAGTTCTGAGACTGAAGGTGCGAGCGTGGGTATGCATCATTGGCGGGCGTATCGTTGGGAGTTCGGGGCATACTTCATCCATAGGATATTGGCTACTTGTCAAGCACCGTGTGCCACTCCGGCTATCTTCTTAAGTGGAGGGATACTGTGTTTCAGTTTGCGAATTGCATGCTTATGTGGTGGGCTTTTGTCCTTCAAAATTTATTAAGCAATCATCATCATCATCATCATTATACATGTCAGCTAGAGATGGTAAAACACCTCCGCTGTTGTACTGCAATACATAAAGGAAATACATACATACATACAATACATAAAGGAAAAATAAATACGACAGTTGAATGCCAGCTGAGCTACCAGCAACGGATACGCATCGTTCCGGTAAGCTACTAGCCGGCTGCTAGGCAAAACCAAAAATTTAATTACGTTTTACCTTACGAAATAAGATCGTAGATGGAGGGGGAGGCTAAAGGGATGGGGAGGGACAAAGAAACTCACAGCAGGAACGCCACTGAGGTCGGCTCCTTGCCATATCAGCAAGTGTATCCAGCCAAACGTGTTCACCGTCTTTTGGACCCCAACCAGGGAGCCGTGAAGCTCCAACTGAGGCCAGCTCCGAAGTGAGGGCCTTCATTCCTCTGGACCAAGTCATCGCTTGGCCACCTCTCCTCTTCTTCCACTCACATCCCCGGTGAGCAAACAACGCACGTCGAGGGAGTCGGTGGGCTGGCATGCGCAACACGTGGCCCAGCCATCGGTACGTGAAATGACGGTGCTGAGCGGTTCATTCCCTTTTCCTAGGCCGTAAACAAGGCGTCGAACACGCTCGTTACTCACGCGGTGTTCCCACCAAATGTGAGCCAAACTGCGAAGGCACCGATGGTCGAACGTAAGTAGCCTCTTCATGTCCGCCGATCTTAGGGGCCAGGTTTCGCAACCGTACAGTAAGGTCGAACGTACCGCTGCATTGTACACTCTACCCTTCAGGGCGAGAGTAATGTCGCGCCGTCGCCATAGGTGGCGAAGGTTAGCAAAAGCACTTCGAGCTTTCGCTATCCGGTTCGTGATCTCGTCTTCGATCCCAAGGGTGCTGATACAACTTCCCAGGTAATTGAATTTCTGAACGACTTCTAACTGATCCCCACCAAGGGTCAGCACAGGGGGCGAACCCTGCCAATCCTGGAGGAACGCTTTGCACTTCGGTGGTGCAAAGCAAAGCCCGAAGCGACTGACAGCCAGTGCTAATCTGTCCAGCGCGGATTGACACGTCTGGGAGCTGTCACAGATGAGGGCAATGTCGTCTGCATACTCTAAGTCAAGAAGTCGTTCTCCTGGGAGTAGCTCCACACCTTCCAAGTCATGTCCTGTAAATGCAATCTCCATGACTTCGTCAATAGCGAAGTTGAATAGGAAAGGTGACAGCGGGCATCCTTGTCTCACACCGCTGGAGATATTGAAGGGTGGCGACAGCCTGCTATAAGCCCTTACTCTGCAATACTATCGGCTTGTCTCTTTGTCCTCACGGACAAGCGTGTTACAATGGTTTACGATGGGTCACGTAGTCGTTTCAGGTCTCAGGACCCGGATTGGCTCTGTATGTGTGTGAAGCTACGTTTCCGAATCCGGCTTCTGATGAGGGACGATGGATTGGTGGAACCCGCTTAGTTTCTGAAGCAATTACGATCCAATTGTTGAAGCGTTCAGCAAACTGAATCCAAGTGTTGCCAGGTGCACCACTTTTAAAGAAGTTTCGTGGGCACAAGCTGTGCTATCTGGCATGTGTACGTGTGCTCTTCCAAAATGTGCTTCGCTCAATTGCACTTACTCCATTGCACGTCTACGAAGACGCGGACCAAAGCGGATCCGTCCTGGAGACGAGCTATGGAAAGCAAGACTACTTCCAGCTCATTGACGGCGTTTAACACCTTCCGAAGAAGCCTGGCTTCATCATAATACATAAAATTCGGATGATGGGTGATTCTGGTGACGTTGGCGGGTTTAGTGGGAATACCGACCAGGTCGCTTATAGTGTTCCACTGACTCAAGTTGTCCATCTCCTTCCCTTTCAGCGCATTCCATGCTGACTGATAACTTGATACCTCTTATAGATAGGGCATCCCAAACTTTATGAGTGTCTTTCAAAGGAGGATGGATAGTGGTTAGGAGACCAGGCCACTTTCTGCGCACCAGTGCAGCATCGCCTCTCACACCAATCTTGGGTGCAGCAGCTGGTTTTTGAGATCTTTTGGATGCAGCTGTGTCCAAACTGCCGCTTGTTTTGGCATGTTTTCTAAGCTTCGGCAACTCTTAGTGGGAGGAAATGTTTGTGGGAAATTGTTGCAAAAGAACTAGAAGTGAAGAGTTCGGGAACAGCTGGGTGTATTGCCGAAGTGCTTGCTTACCTTGTTTGTACATGTCACTTTGTTATTTGAACGCCAGACGTTGTGGATTTTGCTTGAAGTACATCAGCGTACAGGCCTAGGTTATACATTCTGCTATCTTCGTTTCAAATGAAGCGAGTTTTGTGCTCGATATTTGTCCAACCATTTCTGTCACTTTTTCCCATTTCTGGGACAGACAATAAGGGTCTTAACTCCTGGGATGATATTACACTTCACGCTGGACCAAAATGTATCTGGCCTACTATAATGCAGCAGCGAGAGAGACACCAAACATCTAGGAGAGCGTTCCCCTGTATGCGTGATGGTTGTTTGGGTCTAGTTGCGACAAACTTTTTCAAACTGACCTTCAAGCTCCAATATCAAGATGCTTAATTTCTGAGAAAATTGATCGCATCACACACGCGCATGCGGAATACATTTTGTACACTGTCGGGTGAGTAGCGGCGAGCGTCTAATATTCTTCCGACGTATCTTCACTGTAACCCTTGTCTCCTGGTTGCGATCGAGGTCAAGTCCACTGTGCTCACGATCAATAACTTCTGCTTCCCTTGACAGTCATGTCACAGTCTATGTAGCGACTATACGAAGGCTAGATTAAGTGACCTCACGAGACGGGATTGGAAAACTGTAGGTTAGTGTACCCTTACTATACGCACGGTTTGGGCAGATCAAAATAATACATAAATTCCTGTTACAGCCGGTAATCAGTTTGAACTTGTACTGAGAAAAGGCGGCTACTGAATGACGTGCGGCAGCGTGCAGAAATGGTACAGTGTAGTTGCTTACAAATCGGCAATCAGTCAAGGGTGAAACATTTTACCTCACAGAGTCAAGGAATTGCCAACGGTGTGAGGTAAAAGCGTAAAGTGTTTCATAGTGCACCTGTTCGTGACATGTGTAAATTTCTGTGAGGAATTAAGTGAAAGGTTTGAGAGTAGGAATATCATGTCCCCAAATGCATAATCCAGTTTGGCTGAATAACCAAAGGTTTATTTGTACTCTACAGTCTGCATGATCGGTTTGAGGAGTAAGACTTCCGAGTACTTATGATTCTGCCACCTGAACACAGATTGTCCACCTCCGACTTTGTTCTGTTGTCCACTTGCGGTGGAAGCGCATCAATCAACTCTTCCAAGCAAACCTTGTCGCTTACGAAAGCATTCTTCAATTTAACGTAGGGTATCATTGACTAAAGCGAATGGATCACGGGGAAACCTAGTTGAAGCATATACTCTGGTCGTCTTTGCTCTCTAACCCTCTCGTCCTTAAGTGATTGCTTGTCGGTAGTTCTGTTGCCTGAACACTCATTTCTACGCATTCTTCGACACCCATTGAACTAGTGGTTCAGCCACTGAATAGTCGCTGACTTCAGCACCAAAGCATTTCCAGACATTGCTTTCATCTACTACCACTAGTACTCCTCTCTTTCTAAATGGTCGGATCGTCACAGTGATTACGTCATCTATTCATCTAGCTTTCGGTGTTTTTGTGACACCCACACAACATCATAAGCACTCGGTGAAGTTATCCTCGCTGGTGCAACCGGATACTCAAATCAGCTATCAACCACTCACGATTCACACAGTTTTAGAATAGCGTTACCTTCATTGGAAGCATTGCTGCAGAGAATCGCATTTATTCCATCTCCTTGGCTGAAAAAGTATCACGTCTAACCTAGCGCGTGCTTCTCTATGGATAACAATTGAAGCTGCCTTTGGCTTGGTACTTAGTTATGTGGGTGGTGCAGCGCAAGCCACCCATCGTCCCGTCGCAGGTGCAGGCGTCCTGAGGCTGTTTTAGGTAGGTCGCAGTGAAAGGCAAATCCGGAATCGCATGCCACCAACCATCCCTGATTGCGTTTTGTAATGGTTCATCTACATTGAACGCTCTTGAGCCACTTTTCCTCTACTTCTTCGCATTTCTCTCGCTTCAACACAGGCTGACGGCTTGTTTACTCCTCCAATGTACCATACGGCTTATGACACGGTTGGCGTGGTATGCAAGTTTCTAGATCCTCCTTCTATCACTGGTCCACTTCCGCGGCATCGTCTGATAGCTCGTTTGTCCATCACAATGCTGCTCCAGCTTTCCTGCAGCAAGAGAATTCCTTACTCAGTTACAAGATGGACACATCTGATGAATGAAAAATGGAGATTGACCCAGCAGCAATTTGAGTCGAGTTTGAATAATTTACAGCACTTTGGTATACATTTAGGTACGTCCAATTATTTTAGTGCTGTTTTTACATATCTTCGTTATTCTATCCAAAATTATTCTCGATTATATATCTTCTGATCATTCTTCTAGGTTTCGTCATCCCAGTTTGCTGTACACTACATTTTACTTATAGTAGTGCTTCAGCATTTGGCGTGTACATCATCTGATCAATATAAGTAGGAGATTCGTTGAGGAACATTTCATTTATCTTCTTACTTTTAATGATGGTGCATTGTACATGTTCCTGGAAGTCCAGACCGCTGGAATAGTATATTCTCAAATCTCGGATTTGCTAATGTGGGTTTGTAATAGGCAACCACAAGCTGTGATTACCGCGACACGTTTTCGGGCCACTAGTCGGGTATGCAGTAGACCACACGGGGAGATGACTCATTCAGTCCGCAATTGACGATACAGTTGCCGCACCATCCAGAGCACTTGACGGAGCCAATTCATTATCGCCACACAGGTTGTTATGGTGCGGACGTGATCGTACCTAAAACCAGACAGTGAAGGCTGCTACCAGAGTCGAATCTGTTCAGACAAGAGATGTAAATCACTTCGATGACAGATGGGCAAAGTAAGAGCATGTGACCTATAAAATTAATTGTGATCTGTTACTAATACACTTCGGTCTAACAGGCTTCGCTGTTCTGTTTTCGTCCCCGGCTGAATTGGCAGAGTAGAGGGCAGAGACGTGGACAGCGTTACAACAGTGTGAGGGCCAGATTATATATTGCGACGGTATAATATTACATTGCTCTTTTCGACTGATTAGCTTGGTTTGAGTTAGAATGCCATCCTTTATGACCGTCTTGGTGACTTGTAAGATCGAACTTGATGTCATTGACGTATATGTGCTAGTTACTGTGAACCGCTGTATCAGTAAAAGCGTTGATGTACACCTGCGATAATAATAGTCTCGGAAGGCTGTCTTGGAATATGCCACTTCTTATGGGATTGCTGCGAGAAATGCAGTTGTCATCCCGGGTGGCTTGGATCCTGCCATAAAAATGTAATGGGAAGTAAGTGCTCAGTCATAGCTTTGTAACCAGGTGCTTTGCCGCAAAACCTTTGGTTATTGATAAATATCACAACACAATTTATACTTCCATCGACGGCTCTGGTGACACGGTTCAACTGGTCCAATTTACAAACTTGACAAAAATGCTGTTCGCTGAAATTATGCTGCGCCAGTCTAATAAGCTTTTTTGTGAACTCGGAGACCTTTTCTTCAATATTATTTTTTGACTTAAATTATTATGAAGGATTGATCGCGCATTCGTTTCTTATGTCATTTTCGCACTATTTTTATCTAGTGAAACTGCCTCAGTACGTCTCCAGTTAGACTGAACAGAGCTAGCTATGATTGATGGTGTGAACACATTCTACAACGCGATATCGATATCAGGGCCACCACATTTTAAGAGAGCTAGAGAATGGCTCTCGGCACTGCCGAAGAAGGATGGCTTTGCACAGCTGATGAACTTCCTTATTTAAATGATATTAAACTTTGCTGTCTGAGAAATATCACTTACACACAATCTTGGTGGAACAAGTCGTTGCATGTGTATAGTCATAAAAACATGCGCTGAATTGATGCTTGAAAACATTGCAAACCACCTGGATACCCTAGTGTGGGAGCAAGTGGAGATTTAAGTCTGCACACCCCCATCATAATATGATCAAAAATGTTATAAAAGACATCTGTCACCCGTCAGTACTCTGATCACTCTTCAACTCCTAATATGGCATTTTAAAATGTCTAATGTGAACTTTAACTCGGTTCGCAAATGCAAGATGTCACTGCTAGTTTGCAAACTTTCTTTGGATCAGATAATAGTACATTCCAAGTTCAACAACGTTTTGTACTGCTGCACAGATTTACTTTTCACGACATCTTCTGGCACATTGTTCCAAATAGGTACCACTGTTCGAAAGCATAACTGGTGGTGTAATCGTTTTATATCCGAGACCACAAGCTTGTACCGGTGTCCGCGTTTGCTGCATGGCGTTCACAAGTGTAGCAGCGGCCTCAACATTGGAAGACGCTAAGGTGTAGTATGCGGTAGTTCACGATGCGATCGACTCGCAACCGACGATACGACGAGGTATAGAGTCCTAGTCTCTCGTGCCGGTCTTTGTACGATAATTCTCGTAAACTTGGAATGAGTCTGGTGACGAAGTGTTTGACTTGTTCGATCTTTTCTGCCTCCTCAGATGATGGGACATTAGACAGGCGAACCATATTCCAGCATTGTCTTTACAATGGAGTAGAAGAGGCGAGTGGCAACCACTTCACACCTGATGCAGAATCTGCTTTTGTGCGCCAAAAGCATGTGCATCCGTCACACTATAGCCTGTCCGTGTTGCTCACGGACTATAACTCGCAGCGCAAGGGTACACCTAGGTCCTTCATGGAAGGTGCGGGATGTAGCGTTTGACTGTCGTGGAAATAGGTTCGGCCGTCACCACCCTTCCCCAGGCTCATGAGTACTGACTCGAATGGGTTGACCGGAAGGTCGACTTTTACACACCACTTTGAGAGGTGGTTGAGGTTTTGTTGGTTTAGGCAACAGTCGTCAGTGGTGCTAACCACTCCGAATCTTGCGCAAATGGGACACCCGACGACCGAAGAAGCTGAGGCAAATCGTTGGTATCGATTGGGAACAGTGTGGATCCTACCTCCATATCTCGGGCTACGACATTAGTTGAGGAATACCAGTCCTTTAAGTGGCCGTCAAACTGTATTCACTACTTTCGTGTAATGAGTTACTTCCGGATATACTAGTGTAGTGGTCCATCAACACCGCACACTCAACCTGTGCAGGAAGACCTCATCGCTTATCTTGTCGAAAGCTTTACTGAAGTCGATGTAGACCACCTTGCTAGACTTCTGTATGTTTACCTTTCGGAATAATTCATGCCTTGTCACCTACAATTTGGTACTGCGTGAGCGGTCTAGCATGAAACCATGTTGTGCGGACGTCAGCAGATATTTTGGTTGGAACGGTTGTAGCACACCTTTTTTCACAATCTTCTCGGCAACCTTGGCTTGTATTTGTCCACTTTGCAAGGGTCACCGCTCTTCGGAACTGCTTTACTATTAAGCATTTTCTGTCCCTCGGCAATGAACCTACGGACAGCGATCTGCTGAACACTTCAGTTATGGCAAGTGAGATAATGGCCGATAGGGAATTGGGTATAATTGCGTGGAGAACGTCAGGGCCAATAGGTTTGGCGCCATCAACGTAAGCGAGTAATTCACGCACTTCTTCAACACTGCAACCCAGACTGTTGACTTCCGTAAGCGCATTGCACATCAAATTCGTCACATACGCGTGGTCATTTCCAAATACGGAAGCGAATCGCGCCACCAAGGTGGTAGCGCCTGTCTATCCGAGCCTTCTAGCCCTCATAGACCACCTACCGGCTTCAGCTGCTATTTCACACAAGCAGAGATTCTCTTCAGTGCATCTTTTCAATGGCTGCGAGCTGCTCTTTGAAATGCTGGCGTTTGTCCCTTTTTGCATTATTGCAAACATTTCGCTAACTCTTATATGCTTATTGCTCATTGAATGAACCTGAGATAGGAATTTATCCCACCTTCTGCTTATCTTTTCGGATTGGGGTTGAAACAAACAGTACCATTGATGTCATATTTTCATTTCCGAGCATCCCGCTTCGATATTTTAAATTTTAGGGTTCCTGTTATAACTAATTAGTGGATCGGACCGGTTGTAGCCAGGCCCTTCTGTTTACCGTTTCGGGATCTACAACTGTTTCTTCAATTACGTTTGCGAGTATCATTTTCCAATTCAACGGTGGTCACCTGCCTTGTCGCACGTCATGTCGTCATCTTATCTTCATTTTGCGCCTGGACACTTTGGGATACATCAAAACCCCAGGCTAAGGCGGTGATACCTAAACAATGAACGTATTGCATAGGTACTCGTGTCAGGACAGATATTTCGGTCTTCATGATATGCGCTTGTGCGCTTGCTTACCTAGCCAGACCATCTGGAGTCCGTTTGTGGGTAGGGCAAATAGAATTCACCCTCAGTGATATTTATCACCCGTCATCTGGTTGAAACCCAACGATGAAACATGCATCATGCAACTAATCTATGCCAGAGGGGTAGCTAGAATTGCCTGTAATGGCGACCACTAAACCACTACTATCATGCATGGAACCGATAGAGAGATTGGGATGGGAAAATCGATGCTTAGTGATTGCACAATACCTATCCTGGCTTTTGTAAAGAAGGGAATTACTGTTAACAGCCACTAAGCAAGTTATCACTTCCTATTTTTGCCAGCTATAGTCCAAGAAATGGGATAGTGCAGTTGCTAGTCGGTCGCCATCGTCTTACATAAACGATATAACGATTTCGTTATGTTTACTCGCTCCGTTCCCCTGCAACATTACCACTTCGTGCCGGATCTCGGTTATCACGGGTGTTGTTAGGTAGAGGTCCATTTCCGATTCATATGACCCAACTTCCATGCTGACAATCAGTTGAGTTGGAGAGTGTTAAGACGTTTCTCCACAGCCACTCTCAGTTGCACAACTGCCATCACCTAATCCAGTGCCGAACATCTCATCATGTTCGTTCAACACACTTCACTGTCGCATTCTCCGGTATGTGAATTCGCCACAATGCAGCCTTTTAGGCGACGATTAATGGCGCTGACCCTTGGTCAACGGCGTTGGCCAGCTTGACAACCTTACTTTTGGTGACCTTCCAGATCTCTCGACAGGACGTCCTCTATAGAAAAATTGAAGAGTGACGGGAACCTAGGGCAGCCCTCTCGCACATCGTTACTGACTGTGAAGAACGAAGAAACTTTGCCATAGCCCCTCACTCTGCCAGAAACGTGTAGAGTGCGCGTTGCATGGCTGTATACTGTTGCGTGACCTCGTTCTTTATCAAGCAGTGCCACAACACAACTCAATGAACCGAGTCGAATGCAGCACGGATGTCCAAGAATGCAACA